TCAAGGCGTTGGTAGGAAAATTAATCAACCATCCCAGTGCTGACTCAAGTTTGTAGTGATTTGGTGATGTCATGATTCCTATGCTGCTACAAAGATGTGCACAAGCACAGGTGCATGCACGCACACACACATGCACACACGAGCACACACACGCACACACGCACAACATGACAAGATAAAATAGACCTTGTAAAGATACACAAAGAACGGTATTCCAGGAAGATTTTTTTAATTTGAATTTTATCCATTAAACGCAGAAACTAGAGTGCCCCACATTCTAATATATTAGGCTTTTATTGGTTCTGGAAGTCATATGGGCTATTATTTCCCCAAACCAGAAGCATATCTCATTTTGCATATATGCTACTGTTTATTTGCTGCTTTTCTTAAATTTAGAGGCACATTTGAGAATTGTACTTAAGATGCTAGGTTATAATTTGAGCACTGTGAATGTGATTTCTTAAACTATGTATTTTAAATGAGTCTCCCTTGTTTTTGAAATACAGTAGATCTTGCATGAATGAATCTTATAATATCCAAAGATTGAGAGCTAGAAGGAATCCTGGTATGGTACTGTATATGGTCAATTTACAGACTTCTCAGTAGTATGCAAACATTCAAATATAATAGCTGGGCTAATAAGATGTCTAAACTCGTTATAATATTAAAAAGATTCTGGGGCTGGGGCTTTAGCTTAGTGGCAAGGAGCCTGCCTGGCAAGCGCAAGGTCATGAGTTCGATTCCTGGTACTGGAAGAAAAAAAAAAAAGATTCACTTTAGCTGTTTTTTGTTTTGTGTTGTGTTGTTTTGTTTGTACTGAGAATAGAACTCAGGACCTTGCGCTTGCCAGGCAGCGCTGTGCCGCTGAGCTTAAATCCACAGTCCTAGGTGTTTTTATTTATAATGATAGCACACTATAAAGTCTACAGCTCCTGATTTCCTTTCTGTTACATCCAGTGACGATTGATGCTAATATGGAACATTTCCTGCTCGTTATTCATTGATTAAATAAAAGTCATTTTTTCCAGAGACTAGGCAGGAGATAAGATGTCAAGAAGCAATAAGTAGTGAAATGAAAGAGGAGCACGCAAAGGAACCAAAAAGACAAAACATTAAAGTGATGTTATTTTCTCCCCTGTACGCAGATGGACAGGCAAATTATAGCAGTAACTGCAGATTCCCCTTCACCAAAGACAGGACGGCCTTGGGGAATCAGAATGTGGGAGAAAAGTCCAATCAAACTACATTCTTACCCATGCTCCACTTCACTTATGGATAGGGCTTTGGCCAAGGTCATTTAGTTTCCTGCCATAGTTTCCTGAAATGATGAGCTTATTTGAGTGACTGGGAAGATGAATAAGATAATGTTTCAGAAGCATCCCAAACTGGTCAGAAAACGGTGCAGAAAAAGAATATCAAGTAGTACCACTGAACTGTGTATTCTGTTGGAACGAGTCATCTTGCTGCAGAGATACATAAGCAATTCCAGCCATGCTAGAGGACCAGAGAAGAGTCCAGCACAGCATTCTTAAGGGCTGCTAAGGGAAAAGATCTCCGCGCCGGCAACAGCCTAGGTGCCCTGGTTCATAGAACAAAGGCGATCCGTGGGCGGAGCAGAACAATCTTTTACTTACTCTATGTACTACTGTTCAGCCGGGTGGTTATACAGACCTTTGAAATCCCACAGCCAGTTTGAATCCAAGCTTTGCCACTGGCTATTATGAACGTGGGGAAGTCACGTCTCATTCAACTTCATTTCCCCCATCTGTAAAATGGGGGTTACAACTGTATTTATAGGGTGGTTGTTTACGAATGTACACTGTCGAAAGGACTCTCTAAAGTAAGCTACCACTGTAATGTGCGACAAGAGAAGGCAAAATCCATATTGATAATAAGTGAATCTTTCTTTTAGAAAGAGAAAAAAGTGAGGTGTTTCGTTTTGTTTTATGAAACATCATGCTACCTAAGGGGCCTAGGAAAAGAAAAGCTTGTTTGGCCAAGTCTGCATCCACTCGTATTTCATGGGTCCACGGTAACTCGTTAAGCCTTTGATATTTGGCACACAACACACAAACAGGAAAAGCCTTCCGTGTGCTTTCACTAAAAACAGCTATTTTAAAAACCGAGATGTATATATTTGAAAAATCTCTTGGCTCTCCATTAGCTCTCTTGAAACAACGCTCGGACGCGGCGTTCTGTTGTTCTAGGTGGCGCGGAGCCGGGGCGCGGGGAGCGCAGCGCTGCTGCGACCCCTCCGGCCGGCCGCCTGCGGGCAAAGCCCCGGGGGAGGACGCGCTTCTGATCGATCCCGGA